GCAGGAGGAGGGGAGCCCACAGCTGCCCGAGATGATGGTTCTTGCAGGATTGGGTTGAGTGGAGACGTTTTGTTCGGCATGCAAGTTGCTCTTAAGGCATCCTAAGAGGATATTCCTGTTTTTCAGAGGAACCTGTGCAAGAGGAACCCACGTATATCCCTTCAAACACTCATGGCTCTCTCACAGAATTACTTGTGATGTGTCGTATCTTTAAATGACTTCAGCCCAGTGGGAGGTTAAACAATCTGGAGAAGCTGTTCCTCTCCCTCTTGCCTGCTGTATTTTATTGGTTTGAGTCTTTCCTTGCTCCGAGTCCTCGATGGCAGCAGATGCCCGGGGCTGGGGTTTGAGCTGTGCAGCGCGGAGGGCAGCACCGTGAGCTGGTGGGGCGGCTGGGGCAGCCCCCGGGGGACGGGAGCAGGCAGGAGCCAGCGTGCCTGTGCGCTCCTGCGGGAGGGGTCTTGTAGCCCCAAACCGAAAGCAAGTGCAATTGTACTGAGCACTCGGTGGGGGTCAGTGGTTTTCTTTCTAATTTGCATTTTGATATTCCAGACGTAAGACTCATTTGCAGGTTTTCCTTTCCACTAGAATAAAAAGGATGCTTTGCCAGACAGTTAATAACTTCCATTGCTTCTCATCTGGGGAAACCAGCTTGTTGTCAGCCCTGGGAGGGCTGACAGCAGGAGAAAATGCTCCCTGCTGGGGCCTTCTCTGGAGATAACCAGGGAAGACTGAGCGGCTGAGCTGATCTAATTGCTCGCTGCTGCTTCCCCTCCACCCTCCCCTTCTCAGGCTTATTCCCTGGGGTGCTCTCCCATCCCCTCCCAGCTCTGGTACCTGCCTTGTGCCGAGCGGGTTCAGCTCATAAAATCAGTGGAGAACTAACCTGACTACAAATGAAACCCAGACAACAAATAAAAGAAATCCACCCCAAAAATACCCCCTTCTGCGGATGGGTAATGCATTGAATGAAGGGGAAAGGGCTGAGGAGGGAAGCAAGGTCTCTCTCTTTTGGCAGTAGTGGGCTGTGAGTGCTACTGGATTAATTAAAGCTGTGCTATGTAATTTCTCATTTGGGTGCAGCACAGCTGGGTGTTGTTGTGGCAAGGCAACATCCTCCCATATGTGCCACCACCTCCCTCGAGGTGCCTCTAACATGCACGGGTGCTGGAGACCTGCATCAGGGTAGAGACCCGCATGCAACTCAGCCCAGCCAAAAAGCGGTTATTCCCCTGCTGGCTCCTGGCTGTTGGGGTGGGAATGCGGGGCTGGGCATGGAGGGAAAAATGTAGTTCTTGAACTACTGCTGCCTTTGGGAAGCTGCCTGCAAATGCACCCCAGGACACCCTAAATGAGGGAGCTTTGGAAAGAGAAATATATTATCTGAGCGACCGCTGCCAGGGGAAGGACACCTGCCATCTGGGTGAGCAGCTTCAGGGGAACGGGCAGATCCTATTTTTCTACCTTGCAGATTTTCTTGCACAGAGAGCAGAAAACTCTGTGCACTCCCCAGCTTGCTGGGCTGGGCTAGGGGGAAATAATCCTGTTGGACCTGCCCCTACAAAATCCATCGCTAAAACCAACAGTGTTTGTGGAATCTGTAACATAGTTTTGAAATACCTTCTGGGAAACCACTTTTATAAATATCAAGACTATTCCAGCAGTGCTTTTGTTCAGCTTTATTTTATAAAATGTGCTTGAGAAGATTTTTGTAAGATATAACACAATTACTGTAGTTCACAAAAATCATGCAAATATTTTGGCTTGTAAAAGTAAGATAAAAAAAAATCTTTGTTCTTGTGGGATATCCCTTCAATGTCTAAATATGAGAATTAGAGGAACTGGAAGTTCATGAGAGTTTTCACCAAGTGATAAAGGAGATGAGAAATAGGACTGGAAACCAAGAAGACGCATCTGATAGCGAGGAAGAGACTCCTTCCACCTGGCTCCTCTGTGTTACAGGAGTGTTGGACACCCTGGGGCGAGGCCGCCAGACTGAGCGGTTTTATAGCAGGAGATCTCTTTGCTCTAGTAATAGCGAACCATTTTGGAGCATGTCCCTGTATTAGCTGATACAGAGGAGGAAAAAAAATTGCTAAGCTCAGCTTAGCAAAAGCAGAAAGCTCAGCTGAGCAAAAGTTCAGCTTTTGACTTTTCTGGGTTTTTTTCCATACAGTTTAGAAAAAACATTGATTTTGGTGCATCTGTAATATTTGACATACAACATCAAAAAAGCAAAGCAGCAGTAAGATAGGGTCTAGCTGTAGCATTAAGCCCTTGAGTTGGATCTCGGCAGCACCACAAGTATCTCCTTCCAGCAAAAGCTGGCAGGGATGAAGGAAGGGGGTTATTAGTGAGTCTGTTTCTGGAGTGAAGGTTCATGCTGTCTTTGACAGTTGAGTCTTATCTGTAAAGATCATCCTCCACCGTGTCTCGGAGGCCCACAGGTACTTGGCTTGCAGAGTCCAGTTTAGGCTCTGGTCACAGCTTACCAATGCTTGTCTGAAACCAGATGCAGGACTCCAGTGCTGGCATATCAAGGCTGAAATCTGAGAAACGCTGGCAGTTTGTGTCTTACAAGGAGTCTTACCTTTAACCTTAAAAAAAAATGAGATCTCTCCTTTGTGTTGTTCCCTATTTAGACTGGATGCCTTTGCTTATTGGCACTGCTTTGATGAGGCTGAGAGCTACTCTTTTATAACTTTAGCTGACAACTTCCTGACTCTTAAGTAGCTGGTAAAGTAAGTGTAACTCTGTATTAACAAGCATTATTACTATTATGGGGCATAGAGGGAGGAGGTGCAGTGGTACAATCTCCAGCATCAGTGGCACTTCTGAGCTCAGCTTTCAGGGTTGTTGGTTTCCATGCTTTATAATAATAATACAATAATCAAAGCATTCTGCACCAGTATTTGAATTACATGTCCATGGTGTGTTGGAATCATCACGGAAAACATAATGGGTGGATTTGAGATTTAGAGATTCATGAGGCTGCTTAAAGGTTGAGTCCTACTGGTCCTGGTACCCTGTGGACATCAAGTAAATATCTAAATAGCCAATACAGGCTGTAAGTGGTAAAAATGTGGAATCGTATGATAATCCCACACATGTCCGTGTACAGGCTACGCTTTGCTGGACTGAGGTCTCATGCATTTCCTATTTTTTCCCACAGGCTAGTTTCTCATCCTATATTTCATTGAGATAATCTTGATCAGGATATATCAGAAAGCCAGTAAATAAGCTGTCTGTCCAGTAGGGATCATAAAAGAGCCCATTTTGTTCTGAGTAAAAGATCTGCAGCCATACCTCATCCTCCTGCTTCAGAGAAAGGATGGTTGATCCAGAAGCAACGTCATGGTTCCCAGTGTTGGCATCAAAAGTCTTGATCCGGTACTGCCCGTTGTGAACCAAGCCAATGGCCAAATGTTTGTTGGCCAAAGTGATATCATAAGTGAAGTAGTAAATACCTGGGATGCTGCATATAAATTTCCCACTGGAAGCATTGTAGTGTCCTCCCTCGTTCATCAGGATCCTGTCAAATTTGATGGGCAGCCTTTCCCTTGGGTAGCTCTTTGAGACTGCCACGGAGAAGGCAGATTTGGCTTTGTTGGCATTACAGGTGCAGGGTCCTGGCATCCCGGTCTCGCCCTTGTTCCCTTTGGGCCCTTTCTTTCCGGGTGCCCCGTTTTTTCCAGGATTACCCTTTAAACCCTTGGGCCCTCGTGGGCCTGCCTTGCCCGTAGCTCCTGCTTTCCCCTTCGGTCCTGGCTTGCCAGGGTTTCCTGTTCTGCCTTGTGGACCTAGAAGACAAATAAGCTTGTAATTTTTTAGTGAAAGAGATGATACGGTGAGTGGAAAGGGGTTGTATCGCTGCAGTAGTAGTTTTCATTTAGGAGGAAAACCTTGCAGGTGAGATTCCCGATGAAATACCACCTGGGGCTAGACATGTATCAGGACTGACTGACCGTGTTAGGTAGGTAGGTGGTATGATAACAACGGGGTGCAGGAGCAGGACAGTCTGTCCCTTTTAAGGACAAAAGGCTGGTGCAATTATCTGTCTTACTTGAGAAAAATGAGAATTGATTATAAAGTTAGCCAGGAGCAAGCTTTAAACTCTTTGGGTTTTAAAGGAGTGGGATGGGTTTGTGAAGCTTTTGGAACCTAGTTTTGAGCAGATGGAATATTTTTAATCTCTT